TGGTGCATGGTGCATGGTGCATGGTGCATGGTGCATGGTGCATGGTGCATGGTGCATGGTTCTAGATAATTTTTCTCTTCTTCCAGCACCCCAAATACGTTTAAAACCAGTCGGCAAAAACGTTTCTCACTCGGTCACTAGTGGTAATGTTCAAGTCCTGGTTAATCGGTCTTGGGGGCTAGTTTGTAGAGAAGCCACGCTTCAAATTGAGATGGCGAATGTAGTTTGTCGCTCACTTGGTCTTGGTAGCCAAAGTAACGTTGTGGATTTCCAAGATGGCAAACTTGAGAACGCCTGGATTGTTATCAAAAAGTGCAATGGCAGTGAACGACATATCTTAGACTGTGAGAGGTCTAATATTGGAAGGTTTTCATGTCCAAGAAAACACGTTCTTCACGTCATTTGTGGACATGCGTTTTGTAAGTAGCTTTGCCAAGATAACATAATCATCCTTAAAAACATCTAGTGTTTCTTGGATCCAACAGCCTTGAGGCGATATAGCTTTGCGCATAAATGCTGAGAAGAATACTTGAGACAGATATATATCTCATCTTTTATTTTTCTGATACAAAAATATGCAGAGTGATGTGTTGTTTACTGGCTAGGAAATTCAAGCTTGCAATAGACCTAATTCACTGTTTTCCCATTTTAGACCAAGTGTCCTTTCCAAGAGTATCACTTTGTTTAATGATTGCGCATGAGAAGACGCATGAATATGGATACAGTTCAAACAAAGAATCTTATTCTCAAGTGAATGACACGTGGTCTGAAATGCGAAAATATTATTCCTATTTGGATTAGATCCATTGTCGTTAAGGAAACGTCGTGACATCAAATGATATGTGTACAATATTAACCAAAACCATAGTAGGTGAGGTACTGCAGCCATAAAATAGTCATTCCTCTTGATTACGATTAAGTGGTTTGCAGTTTTTGGATGAGACAAAACTAACAGGTTTTTGGAAGCGTTGTTTATTGTTATGGAAGCTGCATCATTGGAATGTTTCACTACTTTATAAAATTATTCATAAACTCACTGATTTACTCCCATTTTTTCCTCTTTGTTGTGACGTGACTTTTATCATGTCCAGTTTCCTTTTGGTCATCTTATAAACTACTCTACTCTTCTTCTAATTTTTTTTATTCCGACGAAGGATTAACGTACATAACGTCAGTATAGTTACAATCCTTTCTACTCGGTGTTTGAAGCCCCGTTTACACTAGCGATTTTTGCAGCGTTTTTTTGTTGCGATTTTTGCGGCAATTTTCGGAAATATGAAATCTTTTGTCTCATCCTTCAAAAGAGACATTCGTCTAGGAAAATCTTGGTATCCTGAAAAAAAACGTTACAAGTAAATTCTTTACCATTATTTATTATGGACAAAAAAATCGCAGCAAAAATCGCAGCAAAAATCGCCGCAAAAATCGCTAGTGTAAACGGGGCTTAAGTTGCGTTCTCATATATTCACTTGATTTAAAAGCGATTGACACACAGTAGTTACTGCGAATTTTATATACTTTTCAATTCATAATTGTAGATTTTGTTTTTGTTACTTAGGCCCACCCAATTGTAAATGTAGTTTTGCGAGTCTTGCATATGAAGTAAAGTGTGGTCCGCCGGTAACCATTGATACACTGAAGAACCTACCTTATTATACTACAAGACTGTAAGTCTAAAGTGAAAATACAAACTAATAGCATTTACTTAAGTTAGAATGAAAGCAACTAAGGGAAAATGAACTAAAAGAAGGAATCTCTTGTATTCATGCTTGTAGCCATCAGGCACCGTTTGATGCTATTTTCAGAACCACATTTACTATCGTTTGCTTTTCCGCATAATGCACGCGCTCTTCGCTGCATTCTCATCATGTTTTCTTGAAAAAAAAAAAAAAAAACAGTGTAGAGCGCGCGCAGCATATGCGCAGCCTGCGTAGCGGCGCTTTGAGGAGGGGGAGATGGACTACCCCTTCTACAAAGCGCCGCAACGCAGGCTATATGCGTGCAGAAAAACAAACGATCAAATTAATAAGAATTCTAAAAATAGAATCAAAGAAGCTTAATGATTGGGGGGATTCCTTCTCATAGTTCATTGTCTCTTGAAACAACTAATTTGAAATTGTATTTACAGGATGTTTAACAACATCGACATGAGCAACATTAGCCAACACTCATTCTACAAACTCGAATTTTTAAAATATATGTAAGTAGCTGGCAAAATGAGATAGCAATAACAATTTAATTTTGAAACGTGAAATATATAACAGGTAATTAGGTAATGGGCTCACAATTAATCTAATCTTTCTTTTTTTTTTTTTTTTTTTGTTTTTTGTTTTTTGTTTTTTGTTAAGCAACCTTAACAATGTCAGCATTGACGAGATCGATAAGAGTGTCTTTATGAGACAGACTGGCTTAGAGGAATTGTAAGTACCTTCATTGAGGGTCCTGAAGGGGTAAAATTGGAGCTGGGATTAATTTGCTCTTTTTGGGCTGGGAAAATGGGATTTTATGCAATGGGAATGGGATTCACAAACAGATAAAAATCAAAAATGGGAATGGTATAGAAATTTGAGCAAAACATTGGCTGGGACTATGGGATTTGGTCAAAATGGGGGCTGAGAAATGGGATCAGCACCCCCCCTAGGACCCTCTTCATTTTATTTGAATGCGGAGGATAAAGTTCGAAAAGAATGGCTGCTCTCTCCCTAGCGCATTTCTCTCGCACGATGCAATCCCCTTTTTATCATTTATCATTTTTCCTTTCTTCTTCTTCTCATTTATTACTGATTATTATCAATTTAACATTTTGTGATTTATTTATAGATTCATAGACAAAAACAACATGCCACGTATCTTAGAAGAGGTATTCCCTAAGAAAATCCTTTTCCTGTAAGTAAAGACTTTCAAACAAGCCATTCTAACTAGACATTAGAAAGAGTACGAAAAAGATAAAAACGAAAATCCAAAATGCATGATTTCTCTGTTTCTCTGTTCCTCTGTTTCTCTGTTTCTCTGTTTCTCTGTTTCTCTGTTTCCTTTTCCGTCTTTCCGCTCTTTGTAATGCTTTA